GTATGGCGAAAGATAGAAATAATGAGATTTAAAGAAAGGTAATATACTGTATTTTCCTTTAATATGATATAATAACACGAAATTAAACATTTAATTAAGAAATTTACTTTTTCAATCAAATTTCAAGTAATTAGAAATTAAAATATGTAATACACGTTAGGATTTAATTACAGTCAAATCTTTAAACGGATACTGAATAAAACAAAAAATGGACGTTGTTTAAAAGTTATTTTGTATGCATGTTTGATAAAAAAAAAAGTTCCCGAAAAAGTCGTGGCATTTTACAGAGGCCACTTTTGGAGTTTCCATTGTACAGTACAGTAATTATATTCCTAACAGTCTACTTAATTGGTGCATTTTACCAATAAGCATTCACAATATTTAAAAATTTAACTATTTTGAAGTGTTCACCTTCGAATTTGTCTGTGCACAGCATTTTTACTACACCGTTATTTTCTGACACATGCCAATGCCAATGCATATGCTCATAACATAAAATTATTTTTGTTTTTAAAACAACGTACTTAATAAAAGCTAATTACACTTTCTCGACTGTCATTTATGACGGAGGGAATGTACGGTGATGTTGCCTGTGTGACATTCAAAACTGCCGGTGTGGCGTCATCTTTTATGATATTTTAATAAAAAGAACTTTTTATATTTTTCATTATTATAAAATTGCAAAAAGTTTAATTTTGAGGGTAGGGACGAGTTTTATAAGATTATAAATGCTAATAACGAGTAAAATCGTCATTAAGTTCGACCCTACTAGACATATGACGTTTATCTCCCCACTCCTCGATCTTTAACCACCAAAATTTAATAGCATCAGTCCCTTAATACACAAAACTCCAAGCATAAATTTCAGAAATTTTCGACTCGTTGTTAGCATTTACAAGTTTTTATAAAACTCGTTTCTACCGTCAAAATGAAGTTTTCTGCCATTTTGTAATAATCAAAAATAATAAAATTTTTTAGTAAAATATCATAACAGATGGCGCCACACACGCAATTTCAACTATTGCTTGTAAAAGTAAAGCCGTAAGTCGCTGGATTTTTTAAAATGGAAAATTCTAAAATATAAAAAAGTGGGATGGTTTCATTTAAAATTTAAAAGTTGTTTCTCGGCTCCAATCAAAAGAGAGATGAAGTAAATCTTATTTTTACGGCATTAAAAAGGAAGACTGTAAGAAAATATTAAAGTTTTATTCTTATTAAATTTTTTATTAAAAGAACATTTTCGGAGTTATCGGTTCGTAACATCTTAGGTAAAACGCCCTTTATACGTATACAGAAAAAAGTTAAACTTTTAGCTGCGCACCAAATTGCACCAATTCTAGTCACAACTGTCAGAGTTGCCGATAGGGAGAAAAGGGAATTACAGTAATCCCTCTGGAGTCAAGATGAACAAAGGGTGCGAACGTAATGTGGGCGTGGTTGTCGACACCAAGACGGTCACCTTTACATAACAAACCGTTTATTTGGGAGACAATACTTACATGTTTGTGGTCGAGAACTTCTACTCTCCGACAGAAAATAAATATAGAAAGTTCACTGTCGTCGTTTATCCAACGGAGATCAGACAGATTTTCAATCGATGATCGGACAAAGTTCCGATGGCTATCGGCGGCGCCGGAATAGATTGGTTGGAAGTCGAGTAGTGCGGCGAAATGTAGGTAAAGCGACGAAGATGAAAGGGAAACCCATACAAAAGACAAACAGGTTGAAGGAGAGATAATCGACCACCTTTTTGTCCTGGAATCTCGGGATTTTTGAAACTCTTTTCCCCAGAATTCTGAATTTGATTCATCCGGAATTTCTCTCTCCATCTTCTTATCGATTCCTTTCCTGTCTCCGGTTAAAATTAGACCATCAGATCCAGCGCGAAAAAGTTCGCTCTGAGTTTATCGGTTTAACATCTCCGTTCGAATCGGTCCGCGAACTTTGAAATTTTCGCTTGTATCTCATGCCATTCTTTTTTCTTTTCTGACATCTAAGAATTTTTTTTTTATGTTTTCATTACTTATAACGCGATAGTTTTTCTATAAAGGAATGTTACATTTTCTGACACGTGTGTGGCACTTGATAGCCACACACTTAACAGATAAATGGGAATCGTGTGTCATATCTCGAGTAGAATCGGTACATAATGACGAATGTACTCGTTATTAGTATTTACAATTTTTTTTTTTTATAAATCTCGTTTCTTCCCTCAAAATTAAGCGTTTTTGCCATTTTATAATAATTAAAAATATAAAAAGCTTTTAAAATAAAATATAATGTAATATTGAAACAGCAAAAGAAGAACAATAATATTTATGACTAGCAGATAAGCCCGGCGTTGCTCGGGCAAAAATTATCGATAGTGAAGATTAAGATTATTACATTATAGCCAATCTTACCCGTTTTCACAGAATGCAAGAATTAGGCCCTTCTGTTTTCCAAACTAATTAGAAAATTTTTAGATGGGTCTAAAAATATGTTCGATTTCCCGCAAAAATGCAAAAAACCGCATCTGCGCCTGTAAATCTTGCACGTCGCTTTCTCTTAACACTTTCATTGTTACTTAACACTTTCATTCTTAACACTTCTCCATCGGGGAAGTATTGACAACCTCTTCCCCGCGGGGGGGAATTTCGAAAAATTCCTTCTTCACAGTAAGTAACCGAGAATTTTTGTACTGTACATACAGTACAACCATTCTCGGTTACTTACTGTGCCGGCTGGAGAAGACTCATCGCCTACGGCTTATAACTCTCAACCAGGTATGGCATTTTCTCCGGCATGGTATGTAATTTTTATACAATAGAGCATCGATTATCCAAATACCGATCAACCGAAACATCGGTTAACCGAAAGCGATCCAGTCGGCAAATTCAAATTTCCGCTAGGGCACTCTTCCTCTCTCTGCCAAACTGAACTGTAGCCTAGTTTAATGTATTACATTATGTAAGATATGTATTTGTAACACGTGTGATACAAATTATATACAGTACAGTTTTGTGTTTAATATAATTTTTTGTAAATGATCAGTTATCCGAACAACCCCAGTCTCGAATTGTTTCGGATAATCGGTGCTCTACTGTATAATATACAGTATATATATGCAAATGTAAAGATTGCCGAGTTATGTCGTGCCATAAGCGGGCGTTCCGAGTTCGATTTCCGCTTTGGACCGATTCATTTTTCCAGAACATTCTAAATTAATAATTAAAATATTAATTTATTTATAATTATTAAATTTAGCAAGAGGTGACGCCTTACGCCTGCCTCTAGTGCCGAATCACTTAGCATTTAAAATAACAGTACTAGTAATACAGCTCGGTATAATTCGCCAATCGTTCGACTTTAGCAATATTGCATTGTGCAATTCGTGTTATTTCACCATTAATGTTAGAAATAATGTTACGAATATCAAATTGGCTATGGTTTTTAGTCATCGAATTTTACCGTTCTGATACAAGGATAATAAATATTTTTGGTTTCTTGCTTTATCGCTGCTGGCGTTGTGATCTCTTGTCACTTTAAGAACTCCCAGTTACATAAAGTGATTTCATACAAAGATACGCGAGGACTTTGCGCCATTTCAGCTAAAGATGTATTCAAGGTCATAGAGAAGTCCAAGTCATAAACGAATCGAATTCACATCTAACCTTAATCTTATGACCTTTATTAATTTAAAATTACATTATAATTATTAAAGAGTGATAAAATCGCAATTACTTCTATTTTAGTATTTTACAGTATTTCTATTTTATAGTATTTCTATTTTATATATTTACAGTATTTTCTTTTAGTGATAGTTTAATTTTTTAATTTTTATTTAAAATCATTATTCTTTTTTCTATCTTCTCAAATCCAATTTTCATAAAATCCGCTTTAATAAGCTAAAAGTAAAGTCCACCATAGGATCAAGTGTAGCGAGCTACACGCCTCTACTCTGATCTGCTCTTTATAGGTTATATTTATAAACTTGATTTCTGTCAGATATTTGTGTCCGATGACATTTGTTTCCTAATAAACTATTTAAGATGTGTCTCATAAACAATTTCATATATTAAGTATTTTAAGTATTTATTTACTCTTATAACCAGTTAAAATGGTTTTTTTGGACGAATAGACCGAAATGTTATGTCCATCGAAGCCGAAGTTCACCCCAATAATTCTTGAACTCGGGTGTACTGTACGTCGGATTCGGTCATAAGATTTGGCTTTATTCGTCCAAAAAACCCTTTTGAGTGGTTATAAAAATGGATGATTTTATACGGCAAATATTGCTAATTTTAGCTTCGTACTTAAGTATTTCTTAACTGCAGGATCTCCGCTCGGTAACATTATTCTTTTTCTATTGATAATCGACTCACAATTCGTCGTTGTTATTTGTGACATATTCGTTGCAAAGTCATTATTTCTGAAGACCCTTCGTGTCGTATGGATAAAACCACCGAACACTGGTCGTGGGTGCGTGCGAGCCAACGGGCTGATCACCTGTAGATTTTCGGGGTGTATTTTTCTCGTGTTTTATCATTATCCCATTAATTCCATACATAATTTTACAACAGAAATAAATATCTACAGGCGATTCCATACATCATTTTTTGAGGAACATCGTTGTACGAACTTTGTATTTCTTCAAAAGAAAACATTTTTAAAATTATCGCATCAAATCATACGGTTTTATCAATTTACAGAGACAGAATATACCGTAAATAAAACGTTCCTTTCTGAAATTTGATTTAATATTGTAATAAAAGTTATAAAAAACCAAACAAAAAATTGCCGAGAGGGGATAGCTTCAAATGTCTACAAGGTAAGTACGACGCCGACAACGATCCATAACAATGTAGCATTTATCTTCAATTAGTAAAATAAATAATTTATATTAAAAAACCGAGAAGAATTTACGAATCTCCAACCTGTAAACAGAAATTATCAAGATGGACAGATGACCTTTATGATAAAACGAAATTATATAACCTCGTAATGTTACGACGACGAAGAGTATTAGGTAAGATCGTTACAAACATGAAAACCTTTATTATTTTTGCCTGCTTTACTTTTGTATTGTCCTTTGCCGAAATGGAAAATACTGAAGATTTAACGAAAGTATATTGTTGTAAGTATAAAATCTATTTTTATATATTACTAATTAAATTTTAATGAAAGTTTTCATTGCACAGCGTCGTCGGAACAGTTAAAAATACGTGTCTGCGTAATAGAAAACAGAGCAGATATGGTAAGTAAATACGTTGTTATATCGTATATTGATCACTTTGCTTATTGAGTGACGTAGAGGTTGGCGAATTTGGCGCCTTGTATCGAAAAATATCGACACGGAGAGAGTGCATTAATTTTCTTCTTCTAATTGGCTTTTTCTTTCTTTATGTTATTATTTGTAAAATAAGTGGAATATCTCAGGATGATTCCGAAACCACGATCCCATTTCCCTAGTTATGCCCGATATATTATTGTATATCATACGGTATGACATCTGTAACTTTATATCCGATACATTATCGACTCTTGTTTTCTAGGTCATAGACATATTTCGGAACTGTGTCAATAAAATTGCGTTTTATAACACTGTAGACGAAATGTCGGAGTTCGTCTGTGGAAACGCAACTGACGAGGTAACATTTTTGAATCGAACTAGCCTTAAATATGATGATTAATTGTTCCTTTTTTTTAAATTTTTAAGCAATATGCGGAATACAGAAGTTGCTTCGATTCCGGAATGATGTCGGAAAATTTAAGTAATCCAAATTTTTTGAAGATAATTAAGGTAATTTTTTAAATTTTTTCTCTATCTTTAAAATTTATTTTCATCTAAGTAAAAATTTATATTGAGAAGTATTTCATTTTTATTTACAGTTATGCTTATCGAGATATACGTAAAACACATTTTAGCAGCATCGATTCAGATTTTACGGTGTTGGCTTCTTCTTAATTGTTCTTTTATGGAAATTAGATGGAAACTTTATTAAAATTATTAAAATAAATCAAAACCTTTCGATTTAGTATTTCGAATTATTCTTATCTTCTGCCATCTTTCGAAATATTTAAATTTGGATAAATTTCAGATACATTTCACGAATTTCTAACACCGAAATTCAAAACTTTAGTAATTCTTTCTAGACTGCATATTGTAATATCAAAACACTTACTAAAACACCTTTTCTTGCAGCCGACGCTTTATTATAACAACTTTCAAACATTTCCGGTCTTGTTAAAAAACCTTTCTCAAGAAAATAAAATTAAATAAGTAACAAAATAAACAACAAAATCGTAAATCGAACGCTTAGTACGAATAACTGTTTTTTCAAATCTTTCGAACTCGCTTATAATCCGTTGTACATGACGTCAGTGTAACCGGAAATATAAAAAGATTACATAACTATCTAAATATAAATACTTAAAGATGCCATCTCCCTACATCGTTCAAAAAATATAACAAAAAAAGATACATATTAACTACTTTCTTCAATTATTAATTTTATATTAAGCTAGAGGACCATGCTGCCGATATTTTAGTCGATTCCCGGAAGTTGACTGCAAGGCCTTTATGCTTTGCCTTACAAATCTGCCAGGCTTCCGCGTAATGTCGGTGTCTCCTGTCTCGGACTATCTGCATTAGTCTTTCTGGAACACTAAACCCAACTTACAGAGCTTTATAAAGGATATAAATGACAATAGATTCGGCCTGGAGATCGAGGTAGAGCAAGAAAATGATAAGACCATACATTTCTTAGATCTGCATATACAAATTAACAACTTACGAGGGTTCACGACTAAAGTGTACAGAAAGCCATCCTATAACCCTATATTTATTCCGTGGATTTCTCACGATCCTNAATAAAATGTATAGCCTAATAATTATCTGTTTTATCCAGATTTTTCAGATAATGTTTTTAAATACAAACCGAGTAAAAAGACGCTATTTCATTTTTGCTGTGTAATAAATTTCACAGAGGGAGAGAGAAAATATTTATAAATAAATTGGATTGATAAAATTGAAGCACCGATATCAGTAAAGAATTTTGTAAATAGTAGTAAAGCGGCTAAAACAACAATATAATCGAACTGTGATACAGTAACGGCGACTTTCGAACAACGAACTTTTTTATGATAGAGATTTATACAAAAGAAGCATTCCTCTTATCATCTTCATCATCATATATAAATACAGTACTGTCTGCGCAGCACTTTACAGTTTACATATTTGAACACAACGCGTGATTTACGTTTCTGATCCTGACAAGTTTTATTGCCTTCTTTAAGAAAATGGAAATTCTATTTTACAAGAGACTATAACATTTACTTCTGTCGCTTTTCGCTAAAGGCAACTCCATCGATTTCAATTACTCTATCTATTCACAATAGTATATTCTTAGAAACTTTACTATCTAATTATAATGTTAGTGCTTTTATTAATTATCGCAGCTGTGACAAACAGAAAGGAACTTTTAACACGTGAAAGTTAAGTATAAAAAATCCAGCAACGACTTGCGGAACTTTCGCGACATTTAAAACTGTGTCTGGCGCCATCTGTTATCGTATTTTATTTTAAATAGTTTTTATATTTTTAATTATTATATAAAGCTTAGTTTTTTGGGTAGAGATGAGTTTTGTAAAATATGGTAAATGCTAATAGGTAGTAAAATCGTAAAATAGTAAAAAACCTACTCCAGATACGACACACAACTCTCTTTAGCCACGACAATGTGATAGCATTACTTCCCTTAACATTTTAATACACAAACCTCCTCGCAAAATTTCAGAAATTTTCGATGAAAAGGGCAGGAGTTATTAAACTTCAAAGAGGATGAATAAAATCCCCCCACAAACACAAACCCCACGTACAGAAACCCCAACGTTTTTGTATTTTCGACGTTTCGAGGCCAAAAATTTAAAAATTTTGGGGATAATTTTATTTGACCGATGCTCATAGTTTCCCTCTGTTATATATAACAGAACCGGGAAAGTAAAAGTTCAAACAGTTCTCGAAAAGATTTGTCAACCGGAAACTTTCTGCATGGAATGGTCCGTTTCGACGTAAAATCAGCCACTCTTCCAACTTCATAAGCTGAAATATTATAATATACTGTATATTGTTCACTATATTATTTAATTTTGGAATTTTTCAAATAAAAACTTACTTTTTTCATACAATATTTTGCTTTACATACACTACGTACAGTACAAGACGAAATGTCATTCATCTGATATCTGATCTATCTGTCCTAAGATAACTTATCTTAGGACAGATAATAGGCTATTTATATATATATTTGTTTACAAAATTTGTAATAAATATTTTTTATGACATTAAACTATAACGTTTTGTTGAAAATACAGTCAAAGCTAGGGTTTAAAGTTCGATTTTCCACTTTTGCATTTAGTTTTTATATTCGTGACTAGATGACGCTACTTGTTTTTACGTTCGGTATATTTTAATAAATAATATAAATTTCCGGAAGAGTAATGAATATCCTCCCAGCATTTCGATCCCGATCCCGTTTATCAATGTTGGCTCAATGACGTACAGTACTTACAAAATTAAAATAGGCAATTACGAATTTCTAGATTTTGCCCCAATTTGTAGCATACAGCAGGATTTGGTATTAAACGTGTAAACGCGTTTATAAACGAGTACTTTATAATTCTTAATGTTCAATATTTTGTCCTATTGTTATCTTATCAATTTCTTAAAATATTTTTTACTCTTCTTAAAGGTTATGCTTGTATTTTTAACCTGTTTTATTTTATGTATCCGGGTTGTACTGTTAATTGGGGATAAAAATTTTACGTCGTATATATGACAAGTCCACTTATAAAAATTGAATAAATAAATAAATATCGAGTGGAGTGAAAAACAAGAACGAGTTGCTGACAATATTTTTAAATTGTCGGTTAAATGTTTTTACCGTCTCAAACCAGATTTTATATCACAAAGAAAAGGAAAATACAAATTTTTAGTACGATAGCCACAAACAGGCTAATACCCCGTTCGCACCGAGTATTTCGATCTAGATTGTGACTAAGGTCGGAGCCAGTTCCGCGGTGCGAACGCTCTCGACCGTTTCAATCTCGACTGAAACGAGGTTCAATCGCGATCGACTGGAGAGAGTTCTCGAAACTAGATCCAGTTATAAGAGAGATCCCACAATCCCACGCGCGCGAGAAAACACAAGATGGCTGCGGAACACGTGTAGGGCTATCGACAGAGAAATAAGAAAGACATCTGGAGAGACGACGACATCTGTCTATTATTATATGTATGGCAAGAAAAAGTATTTATTTCTAACCAAAACTTCCATTTTGTTTGTTGGTGTTTGTGACTTACCGCGTAGTTACGTCAGTTTTATCATCGCGTGTAATAGCCAGGTTCTTCTTGAGCGGACTGCCTGTGCGAACAGCACGACGTTCGACTAGTGACGGTCACAATCCACATTGTAGGTAAATCGAGATCGAAGTGAGTCGTGGATTGTGTGCGAACGTAGTATAAGGTTTCTGGTCAAAGTCGTCCAGAGGTAACTCGTTAATGAAGACAATATTCATATTAAAATATATACAAATTAAACTTTTAATGTAATAAAGATTAATTAATATGCTAGATTATGGAAAACGATCGTAATAAAAATTCAGTCAGATATCAATATTACAATCAAATTTCTAATAATTAGGCTATATATAACAATTTAAATGTTTTCAACCATTTCTAATGTTCAGTAGAGAAGTTAGTTTATAGAAATGATGCTATTCTGTTCGTTGCCATTAATCCCCCGTAAAAATAAGTGGAAGACCATAATGTTTTTGAAAACACCGTGCAACGACCTGAAGAATTGTTATTGAAATAGTTGCTGTTAATTAATTGTTATTACGGTTATCAATGGTACAAAATACTTAAATCTAGGAAGATCGTAGTCTAAACTTACGTTTATAATCGCCGCAAATGAATCAAAAGTCAAAAAAATATTTGGAACAAATAATTTCAACCGCATGAATTGAAAACAACAATCACTGGCAACAAGAAGACATAAATTGTCAACATTTTATTGTTGGGTATCGGCGCAGTTTAATGTCAAAAATTGGATTTTCTGCCGAATTTCGAAATCTACCCCCCTCTGTGCCATCAACAGAGCACGATTTCCATTTTATTTTTTGTCTCGAGTGCTTTAGTCGTTCTCACAGACGAGAGCCTAAACCATTTTACATAGATTATAAGTCGAATTAACGACTTCGATTTAACTCTGAAATCTATTACGATTAAATAATTTATAAAGTGACTTTTAGATATATACATTTTTCTTTCTTATAAAGTAGTTTCCTAGATCTTTTGTGTTTTCCTTCCCTGAAATTGCCCTAAATTGAAGAATTTGAAACAATAAAATTTATATTTAGTACCGAAGTCTGCATACAAATTTTAGTTTGAGAATTTAAAGTCATAGGATTGACTTATAACAATGTCTTTTGCAATGCAATATCGTGCATTTGGTAACTCTCAGTTATCTGTTATATTTAAGAAGAAGGTCTATATATAAGTAGTCATTACACTACAATTATGACGCTAATTAAAATGGCGCTTTTCCGATGTTTAAATATTTATATGGTATTTAATATTTGTAAGTTGATATTCGTGTTGATCAATTTCCAATATAAATCAAAGAAACAAAGCATATGAAATGTTGGGGAACTTGTTAGTGACTTTATGTTTTCGTATAATCGATCAGTCACTCGTTTTTGGCAAAAAGGATTTTGTATAAATTGAAATCTGTAAATTATTTTTTTTTAATTTTTTAATAGATTCTCTACAAATCTGGCTTTACCTTTGAGTTCTCCCGTACACATTGATTATTAAGCATCGTATACATTGAATTCATTCTAGTGAGCATTGTGTACACTGTACTCCGTATAGAATGCATAACATAGGCTCAAAAACCGAATACATTTGAGTGAAAACATTGACCACAACTCCTTCGGACTTTTCAAAAAAAAAAATGCTAGATCAATCGTGCCGCACAGTTTTTCGCAGAGATTGTGAATCACCGTGTGCCTTAGGAGTAAAAATCTCAAGATGTATATTATTTTATTAATCTGCGTTTCTTATTTTCTAAATCAATAAATTCAAAACATTGATTATTCTTTTGAAATTCAATGACTGATTTTCTGTATGAAATTTACACGGGCACCCACGAGTTTGTCAATTTATGCAGTTGTAAACTTGTAGAGGAGATGCTTGGGACACGTTGTAGTTCGGGACAAGCTCGTCATTTGAAAAATAATATATTGAAAGTAGTAAGTAGCGATATCTAGTAGCTATTTCATTACAATATTCAGAATGCATGACGTAAAGTCGGCCATTTTGACTAGTTTTACCGCTGTGACACGTCGTATGATTTTTATAGGTGTTTGTTTTTTTGCAATCCATTTGGATCTTGGTTTTAATCAAAATATTTTGAGGTGAGTAATTTAATTAAGGTACAGTTAATTGATAATTACATTCATAACTACTTATTTTAATAAATAGCATTGGATTTCTGTAATTCAAAAATTATAACCATACTTTGTTATAAACAAGAGAAAATTATACCTTGGGACAGTGAATTTTTTGTACCTTGGGACTGTCCCAAGGTACAAAAAATTCACTGTTCCAAGGCCATTGTCACTGGCATTGCTTTTCTCAACTATTTATTTAATATTATTATGTTTACTTTTGTTATTATGTTTCTATTGGCCGCGAAGAAAAAGAATGAAGTGAATAAAAATGCTAAATGTGTTAAAAAGCGAGTTTTTAAGAAGAAAAACGTTGAAGTTAGTAGCTCTGAGGATGAAACTTCTGTGAT